CTGTTCAAAAACAATATTATTTTCTCTCTTGAAAGAATTCTCCATCTAATTATAGTTCTTATTTATAGCTTTTCGAATATAGTGAAGATTTGAAGCATTATTTAATAGATGGTTATGCTTATGAGTTATCATACAAGCAAGCTTGTGTCTTATTAAAAAATGCWATTGAATATTTTGAGTAAGTAATTTTTACATCTAGTAATTGAAATATTTGTAATCTAATTAATTTAATTTATACTTACAGTGATCAAGATTTAAATAGCAAAAATGGTATTTTCTATTTTACCCACTCGGGTACAATTTTGAAAATGCTTGGATTGTTAGGTCTTTATAAAGATGAACATAAATTAAAGCATGACAACTATATTAATATGGAGAATCGACAGTGGAGGACTTCAAAAATTGATCCTTTTGGTTCAAATATTGCATTTGTTTTATACAAGTATTGAATGTTTCCATTTATTGGTTTTATGATGGGTGAATACATTATGTTAAACATATTATTGTGTTCTTGTTATTTTTAGGTGTCATAATAATGAAACAAAGATATTAACATTGCACCAAGAAAGAATTGTCCATTTTAATGGTTGCAAAGATGGTCTTTGTTCGTATGAAAAATTTAAACAACTGTTTACGAATGAACTTCAAAACTGTAATTTTGATGAAATGTGTAATATTGACTAAATTATTTAAGCTTAGAAAAATTATTTTWTTTATGTATCAATTATTTTTTCTTTTTTTGTTACACATAGGGTTATTTTTATATTATTAACTATATCACAACAAAATAATATTACCAATTATTTTGTTGGGGCACAAAGATTTGTAGAGAAATGTTTACAAATTTATTTTTGTATTTTTTTCTGAATTATTTTTGTATTCTATTTGAATTACAATTGAAATGTACTGAAAATATATCATAGTTATTTTAAAGTACAATGCAAATTATCTCTCAGCAGCGGTATACCTTTAACAACAAACCTACAATGCTATGTCATCATTTTATATTTTAAATGCTTAAAAACTGTATGATAAAATAGACTCAAAGTGATACAAATTGGTGAAAATTTTCGTCCTAAGCATGTACTGAGTATACCCAAGTCAATGATGGATTTTTAATGTATTTTATTAGATTCATAGGAATCYAGCTTAGGTGCTACTCAGACACTCAATGTAGTTATACCTTTCTTTATCTGGAACACTGTTTGGAATGGTTCTGAAATCTAGTGTATGTTGTTGGGAGCAGTTAGGTATACAGATATTTTCAATGGGGAAGGTTATGTAAAACAATTATACATATATCAAAATATTTTAAAATTGTATTAATTTTATGTTATATTTTATATTTTTACATATAGTAATTCAATTACCAATGATTGAATCCCTCCTTCCAGTATGCACGTTACTGGTTAAGAGGGATGAAGGATTTTACAACAAATTTGTAGTCAAAATGCTAAACAGACTACATAATAATTAAAATATAATTTATATATTAATATATTGGAACAGTGTTTATTTACTTTTCCTAATACGATTAAGTAATAAATAAAAAATATTTATTTATAACCGTTTACATAGATAGTTAAAACTTTTTCRGGCAAAAATAAAATAATAGTATTTTGTATAATCCAATAATGTTATAATATGGTATCACAATTACACAGGTAATTTAAAATAAAGACTTGACAGTTTGTCATCCCAGTCTGTCTATAATGCAGAACCATTTGCTGCAGCTACCTAATTCAAACGGATACATAATAGTACCTATAAAACATTAAAACCACACCCAAAATAATGGCTATACTTATATTGCCATTCTCAGTTTCAGCCAAAAGTGTTTGGCCCTAACTACTAGTCATTCAACCATGGCCTAACCTTCGAAATGAAATAAAACATTCACAAAAGCAGAAGGAATTAGTAGCCATCATAGTCACTCGTCTTTGTAAATAATTTTCAAGTTAAATATAATTGTCCACTGATGCATCTTGACCTGGGTTATTTAWTCCTTTGGCATTTCGTAAAGTTTTGAGATCCTCGCGTGCGGACCTTTATCCAGATCTGAGACTCGTCAACTTCTGTCCTCTAATTACACATGAAAATGGGGATGTGGCAAATTTATTCATGGTCGGCTTTGGGTACTTAGTAGAAGACATACAATACGGGTCAGAGCACGTTGTTTGGATATTTGAACATAGTATTATATATATTGTACTCTTCAATTAGTTCAATTAAAATATATTATACTATTTAATTTTAAACGAAAATACCTACGTATAAAATAATAATAATTAATAGGTCGCACCTTCTTTATTATGTAGATGTATATTTCGATTATTTCGTTTTCAAATACTTGTCTAATTAAAATTGTTGTTGTGCTATTAAATGTTGAACATTCTACACGCTGTTTCTACAATCTGTTGGTGTTTTTTGATACTTAAGTAATTCAGGTAATTATTTTATAGGCATTTGACAAATGACAGATATATTATTTTAATCTATAATACCTGCTGACAATAGTATTAGGATACAAGATAGGTAGATAAGTAGTTACCTAATAATAAAATATAACCGCAATTACATTTCATATGAATAGGTAAATATGTTGTGTATAATTAAGTACATTGTATATAATTTTAACTTTTGCTGTTGTTCATACTCAGCTAATAACCTTTTTTTTTTTTTCGTTAGTATCGAGAACCGGAGGAGGAACCATGATGCCAATACTATTCTCCTTCGGCCCCCATCGTTTATTGATAAAAATAACCAATTACACATTTAAGTAGCTGCGACGGGCCAGTCTCCYGTTCGCTAGCTATTACAATAGGATGTTATACAATAATATCGAGAACTTGCCTTCGGCTACATTTTTTAGAAACTTAACTATAGGTATGCATAATTATTAATTAGTTGATAGTTCGGTGAATTCGGAGGTCTTTCTGCGGCCTGACGACGCCGTTCCTCATCCTCCTTCGTAGTAAGGATGTTTTCCACCATGCGATAAAAAAGTTTAAAAACTTCCTCGGCTTCTATAAGAACCGCTTGCTTATCGATTGGATCCAGCGGCAGAGTCTCGAACACTGGACCGCAGATTGTGTCGGGCACGTCGATGGTGTTCGGTCGACGACCTAGCCGGGAGGTTAGAGCTTCCCGAAATCCTTCGCAGTAGACGCACTGGAATAACGTGTGTTCGGCGGTGTCCGAGTCGTCTGCACACTGCCAGCAACGTGGACTGGTGTGGCCCTGCCCATACGATGGAGGTACCTACCACTGGAAACAACCATGGCCCGTGAGTGCCTGTGCCATGTGGAACGTCAGAGGCACCCACGGGACGGTCCTTCCCAGCCATCTCCCCAAGTCAGGGATGACGCAGCGCGTCCGTGCAGCTTTTGAGGTCGCTTGCCATCTAGCCTGCCAGGCACCGATCGTAGCGTTTCTTCTCGCCTCGCTTTTTGCGGTTGCTTTGGAAGGTCGTTGTTCGCCGGGTTCCAAAACGTCGCGTAGTCGGGACCTGATACTGCGTCTTTCCAATCCGAGCAGATCGGCGGGYGGCATGCAGGCCAGAWCCAGAGCGGCCTGGTCCGACACGGTGCGGTAGGACCGGATCACCCTCATGGCGGCGGTCCTCTGATCAAGATCGCTCTGGTTCTGGCGACATCTGTGATGGCGGAGATCCAGACGGGAGCGGCGTACAACAATCTGACTTTCTACAACGGACGCTAGCAGCCTCCTCTTCCACTGAACCGGTCCACCTATGTTCGGCATAAGCCTGGACAGAGCAGCGGCTGAGTGGGCTGCCTTCGTTGTGTTCGTGTGGGCTGATTATAACATGAAAATATTCATTAGAACATCGACGATTGTACATTTGTATATTACCTAAATATGATCTATAAATACTATRGATCGCTCGACGCTCACTACTATTTGGTTTTATATTTTGTCTAAAAATACATCTGTCATTTCAATTTTTCCCGAAATATAGAGACGGAACTGATTTTATTACCATTATA